GGAATGCCGTATTTTTATTTTTCTAAGGAACTGCATTTTTGTCCCCCTCTTCATCTTCTTTGTTCCTGTTGAAACAGCAACAGGGTACATCTACTCCATGTCAAAGTCAAGTCTATAACCAGACCAGTAAAGAACATTGACTTACAAGGAGTTCCAATGAAGTTCCGATTATGAGCAGGCATGCTTCTATCCCAATTTACCACTCTGGGTCAGATTTCATACTTATCAGAGCACTGTGATGACAACAGCAGAAACTGTCTAATTTCCCACCAAACATACAGAGAGCTTTGAATCTATACACCTGCCAGTTATAATCATTCAAGACAGATATGTTAGCTATAGTTAAGGCCAGAGAGAAACACATGCTAAAAAAAAATGCACCTTCTAATTACCGAGAAGCAAGCAGAAAAAAACCTGTAGACAACTCCACTATTGGGTGTCAGATTCTGTATTTTCTGAACCTGAAACAACAAGCAATTGAATTCCATTAACAACCATCTCAAGTTCTATACTATCTTGCAAGTTATATACCATCAATGAAACAGTTTTTATTTAAAGGGATTAAAATGACATCTTTTTACCAAAAAACAATTTTCCAAAAACAATTCAATAATATTTAACCAAGTTTAAACCGAACCATATAATTTGATAGTAATAAATCATATCAAATTTATTTAAATTATTAAATTGGATCCTTAATTTTCAATTCGCCAAATTATTAAATTGGATCTTCAATCTTTTTTTATAGGAGGTTTGGTATCACTGCATAACTTAATTATGACACTACATACAGTGATCATTTGTGATAATTCTGTTGCAGATTGAAAATATTTAGCAACACTAAAAGTGTCGTTAAATATATTTTGAAGAACAATTACATGTTTTCTGTTTTTTGTAGTGCAACGATAGTAAATGTGATGTTAATTTTAGCAACACACCGTGACCAATGCAACGAAGAAAATCAAAACCTAACCATCTAGGTGGTGGCCAAGTGGTAAGGACTTGAGATCAAGAGATTTGCTCCCTCTGTGGTCTCAGGTTCGAGTCCTTGGTTGCTCATATGATGGCCACTGGAGGCTTACATGGTCGTTAACTTCAGGGCCCGTGGGATTAGTCGTGGTGCGCGCAAGCTGGCCCGGACACCCACGTTAATCTAAAAAAAAAAAAATCAAAACCTAATAATCAAAGAAAATTAGAAATTAATAATACTGTGATAGTGAAGTAATTATGTCTCGAACTTATAATAGAGCTTATAATAATATTTATAATAATAAGTTAAGACATATAAACATTCGATATAAATATATTCGAGACTTGATTACAAATGGTGTAATCACCATTGTCTATGTGAAGTTTGTAAATAATTTAGTAGATTCACTCACAAAAGAACTATCTAAAGACATGATACGAAAAACAACTAATAGAATAGGGTTGAAACCCATTATTAAATATACTAGTAATAGGAACCCAACTTCGGATTAGTAAGAAGCTTATCTCTTAGTTTAATGGGTAATAACAAGTTACTGTTTTGTATCTATTTGACACTGATAATTAATTTAACTCCGTATTTTGATAGTATTCAGTGTGTTCTATTACGAAAAGTAGGATGAGTATGAACTCTTAATGGAATTTAAAGTTCGTGTCTAATGTAATAGAGACATGTATAATTCCACCTATATAAATATAAAAGTGGTGCCGCTTTTGACACGAGTTAAGGTTTTCTCTTTTAAATATTCAAGAAAAAAAATTATGATTTTAGCACATAGCTATAATAGTGCTAAATAGTTGTAAACCTCTTCAAGAGTTTGGATAATATTATGTGTGTAGTATCTTTTATTCTACAATAAAAGTTTTGATTTTATCTGCGGACATCAATAACTTTAGTAGGATTCAAGTTCTAACATTAATTGAATGTTTAAAGTAAAATATCTTTTTGTAAGCATAATTCTATCAAGTGAAAAGACCTTCATTACAAACTAGTGGGAGATTGTTAATGTAGTTTGTAAATGAATAAAGAAAAGATGTTTATCCCACATTGGAAAGAAACAGTCCCTCTTGATGTTTCTAAGTGTGAGTTTCTATTGTGTAATAACTTAAGCCATGGTGGACAAACTCTCCTATTTGGCTTCCAAATGTTATTATATGGATATTTATAATATCAAAATATAATATTTGGAACTTAATATGAACAGTTATATTGTTTCACAAATAGTCATGCTATTTAATGAACAATCATATTATTTTATCAACAATCATATTGTTTGATGAATAATCATATTATTTCATCAATAGTCATATTGTTTGATAAATAGTCATATTGTTTCATCGTTATGTTTCAAGTCTATAAAAGCATGTTACAATACAAAAAAAAAAAAAGAACAACAAAAAGATATATATATTTTTTTATCTTATCTTCTTCTTTTTTTAGAAGTTTAGAGGGCTTAATTGTATTCTGTAAGTATTGTCTCTGTGTAGGACAAATAAACACCTTAAAAATAGTGTTTTCACGCCTCTATGCCAACTCCATATTTGTTTCTTGCAATCAACAACCATAAACTAAAATCACTCTTAAAAAGTTACAAAAATTCTTAAAAAAAAATCAGGTCAGGGGTATGTAATGAGAGTTGTTGGATTAATACAATTTTCATAAAAAGGCTCTAATAAGAGATAGAAAATATTGCATATGGCACTCTCTACCAGCAACAAAATTAATGCATATTGTTTTTTACATACGTGTCATAACATTTCCTAGACATCATGGTGGAATCAGTAAAAAACTTGGCTCAGCGAGATGTGGAACGAGCTAGCTTCACATATGCTTATGCAATTGCGAAATACCAAATGGAAACTTCTCAAGTTCGCATCCTATGGACATGATACATATAGTTTTAGCATGAGAAGCACCCTACATCCGCACAAAACCCAATATAACAAATTAAGAAATCTGTAAACCTTAACATTGAACATTAAAACATCCAGTCTAACAAATACAAAACCTGAAAAAAGAGCAGTACCTGGGATAAACCGTGGATGCTAAAGTGAAGCACCATATATAAAAAGACTAAAATTCAACATATTATAATAGAAATTTACAATTAAACCCCTTGTAAATTTATAAAACAGTGAAACCTTCATATCATCCTTGTCAATAAATGAAAACTCATGATCTGAACTTGGGCACCAAACTTCTAGCCATTGAGTATATTATGTTGAATTTTTTAAAAATATAAATCTTTAATATTATTACATATTTATGAAGCTAAAACGTGTGATTTTTATTGTTCATTGAATTATTGTTACCCAATTATATTTTACTGTGAATTAAAGCAATAATTTTTTTAAAAAAATTTAATTTAATTCCTAAACTTTTCTTTTAAAACAATTAAGCTAAAATTAGAGTCTAAATTCAGGTTTTTTTTGGAGATAAAGGTTGAATTGAAAAAAAAATTAAAGTAACAAAAGCAAGTAAAGTTAGTGGTAGGGATGCAATTTATTTAAAAATTTCATTTAAACATAACGATAAGTCTCCCTTACACAGTTCTATTGGTTTACACAGTTAACACATGCTTTTAACTTTCTGCAACATTTTAGTATTGCAAAATCAAAATCTAGGTTTTTCTATAGCTTAATTGGACTTTTTCCAGTTTTTGTATAATATTTCAGCTAAAAATACTAATAATTGAACTTATTAAAGTGCCGTGATAGCTAGTAACTAAGTAGGGTGTACCTTTATTACCCCTGAATTCTACATGTTGCTCTTCGGTGAAGCTCCTTGCCTGGCCATGGGGGCGATGGCCCATGGTACTTGGTGCTAGGATGTGTTTGGGTTTATTCATGGCCCACGGTACTGGGTGATCGAAGCCGGCTGAAACTGGGGCTGTGGATATCAGTAGCGTGTGCAGCTTTGAGTAGGAATAAAGCGGTTCTGATTCTCCATTCAAGTTGTTTCCAATTACCATACTACCCTCCTTTTCTCTGAATCAGATACCATAACAGGGGTGTAATAGTCATCCGGTGTCTATTTAGAAGACTAACTCTTGCTATTTTAACCTCATGAAAGAATGGACTTCCGTAGTGGTGTCTGAACTATCCTTCGAATAGAAATCTTTGGGATGTGAGAAATCTCTTGCCAATTTCACCCATCTCCTTCCCGTAACGTTTCCTTAGATTGGGGCAACTCCTTATGTGTAATTCCTGTAGAGGCGCTGCCAAAACATAGTCTGGTACTGCTCTCAACAACGGGCAATCGATAATATGCAAATCTCGAAGTTGTGGCATAATGGATATTATTGAAGTTGTGTTGGCATCTTCTTCTCCCCCTGATCTCCTTTCAATTCCATCACACTCTTCTACTTCTTTGAGATTCATAATCTCAAGTTTTTTTAATTTTGGGGGAAGCAGTGACCCTTTCAATTTCTCCTTCTTTAACACTTTTAATACCTATAAATCCAACATCCAACCTTCTCACCTTCAGCCCACGTAATTCTAGGTTTTCAAGGTTTGGCAATCTACCCAACGGAAGCAAAACCTCAAGGTTAACACAATAATCGAGTGTAAGCTCCTGTAATCTAGTTAATGTCATCATCCAATTTGGCAAATCCAATCCTCCGTACCTAGATATGATTACATATTCCTTGTCTGACAGAGGCTGTAAATCTTCAATGAAAATGTCGTTCTCCCGGTCGAAGTCGAAATACAATTGCAAACAACGCAGGCGCTTCTTATTCTTGAGTTGTGCTTCTGCAGCGTCTCTCGCATCTTCTAAACTTCCTTTTAGATTATATATGCTAAGACTCCCTCCGATGTGATTTAAGTTTTTTAATTCTCTTAGATTAGCTGCTTTCCTTTCATCCTCACGACCACCACACACAGCAAACCAATCTAATGTTCGAAGACATGTTATCCTCTCTATTCCCTTTGGTATGAAGGTCACAATGGAACCACAAATCCGGAGATGCCTCAATTTTATAAGTTTTCCAATTGCCTTGGGCAATTCCCAGAGAGACCGACATGTAGTAACGTCTAGGGATTGCAGATTGTATAAATCACACATGGTTTCTGGCAGGGACTCCAACTTATAACAATCTGCCAAATTGAGGTGTCTCAAATTTATCAATTTCCCTACCTAGTTTGGTATTTCTTTGATTGAAGACCTTGACCTGATGCATGTTAACTGCTTGAATACATCAGGTAGTGCAGCTCCAAGCCAAGGGTCTCTAGCGTCGATCAAGAGGCTGCGAAGACCTTTTGCTTTGTGAATGGAAACGGGGAAATAGGTTTCCTTTGACAGCATTATGCTTAAATGACGAACCCTTTCAATTGAAGTCTCCACTGTTGCTTCGCCAAGTGTATTGACATCCACAGTTAGACATTCATAGTTTGTCATATATTGGGCAAAATCACGCACTATATCATGCATCTTGAATCTAATATCTTCTCGATCATACGTCTTAAAATCTTGGAAGA